TTTTTTTTTATCCTCATTCTACTTCTTTTTTTTTTGTTGCTAATTCTGCTGTTGTCCTGATTCTGCTTCTTTTGTTGTCCTACCCTGTCAATATGAAAATGTATACAATTGTTAGTATTTGTTTGAATTTAAATGTTTAAGTTATGACTGTTATTAAGATTTGAGATATTATTAGTATTTGTTTTAATTTAAATGTTTATGGTTTTACTTGCATTTAAATATTTAGTATATATAAAATTAGAACTTAGATTGTTTAGAAATAATTAAACTAAAATATATATTTTTTTTAACTGTTCGCTTTGCTTCGGTAAAGCGTGTCGCTTCGCTTCTCGCTTCTCGCCTAGGCGTTAGGAGCCTTGGTCGCTTCGGTTCGCTTTACGCCTTAAATAACACTGTAGCCAACCCATATAGTTTAGAAGTATTCATAACTAGTTCTATTGTAGACATTATCCTTATCAACTAGACCTTGGCTTCTAGTTCTAGGGACTGCCCTCTTGAAGATCACAACTTCAGCAATTTAGTGGCAGTTTCAATGTGCAAAACAAGAAAAATGAATATTGTTATCGGGGGTACAATTGATTCCAATCTAAACATTCAATACTCAAATAGATATTTTTAGCACTCGGGATTAGGTTGTCTTTGTGTTGAATATCGGGTTCTTGATACTTAGTTTAACCTTATCTAGTGAATTTTGATTCAATTTATGTAACTTGAGAATGAAATTCAAAATGAACCTAAATTTAAACTCAGACCGTAAATTCTAATAAGCAAATTAATTTCAATTTGCTTTTTAATGCAAACTCCCAAAATTTTCCACCNAATTTATGTAACTTGAGAATGAAATTCAAAATGAACCTAAATTTAAACTCAGACCGTAAATACTAATAAGCAAATTAATTTCAATTTGCTTTTTAATGCAAACTCCCAAAATTTTCCACCATAGGTAACACTTGGGTGGCATGTTTGAGTTGGATTTAAATTTGAATTTTATTACTTGAGTTGAGTCTAAATTAATCTCCGGATGTACTCCATATATCCAAAGTTACACCCCCAATAATCTGTTCACATGATTCATTAAAAAATAAAAANTCCCAAAATTTTCCAACATAGGTAACACTTGGGTGGCATGTTTGAGTTGGATTTAAATTTGAATTTTATTACTTGAGTTGAGTCTAAATTAATCTCCGGATGTACTCCATATATCCAAAGTTACACCCCTAATAATGTGTTCACATGATTCATTAAAAAATAAAAACAACAAATAGGCCTGCTAACGAAGTGAATTTGAATCAGATTTTGACTTATTCGAATTTGATTTTAAAAGTCCGATTTGAATATGATCTGATTATTTGACAAATTTTAGTTTAATGAATTATATCCGAATTTGTTAATAATTTGAAATTCGACCCGCTTTGAATAACTTAATTTAATTATAATTTAGTAAATTATANGAATTTGAATCAGATTTTGACTTATTCGAATTTGATTTTAAAAGTCCGATTTGAATCTGATCTGATTATTTGACAAATTTTAGTTTAATGGTTTATATCCGAATTTGTTAATAATTTGAAATTCGACCCGCTTTGAATAACTTAATTTAATTATAATTTAGTAAATTACATCTAAATTTCAATTAGGTATATCAAAATTTAAAATGGTCAAATATAAGATAGAGAATTTAGATTCAAATTTAAATTATTAATAAAAAAATATCAAAATAGATCAAATCTGAATCAAAATATACTCCATCGACAAATTTACAAACAAATATGTGTGTCCACACGTGCTAGTGTGGGTTTGGAATGAAAGCGTGCTAGGCTATCCGCGTGCGATTGCCCTTATAAATGCAGGCATGTTGTGGAGGCACTAGGTAGTGGTCAAGCCAAAGGACTGCTGCTTGATACTTGCTCTTTAGCACCGGGAATTATGTACATGTTTGCTATATGCTGTTAGGGTCTATATACAGTAGAGAATACCGGATCAAGGTTCTACTTTTCTTCTAAGCCGCTCTAATTTGTAGACAGCAAAAACATATAGATAGAGACAGATATAAAGATAGAGAAAAAAAAGAGGGAGAGAAAAGAGAGGAATGGAGATAGAGACTGACATGAAGCAATCAAAGTTCAAGAGGATTTGTGTTTTCTGTGGGAGTAGCCAAGGCAAGAAGACTAGCTATCAAGATGCTGCTATTGAGCTTGGCAAAGAATTGGTATTGCTTTTTCTTGTAACAATGGTCCTTTTTTGTTCTGCTATCTCTTTGTTTGTTTTGTTTTCTATGAATGTATGGTGTTTTTTCGGGGTTTTCTATGCTTGGGTTCTTTTTGAATGAGTGTTTTGTCAAATGGGTTTTGTTGGAACATGTTCTTTGCAATGTTCTTTATATGCTTCGAGATGGGTTTTGCTTGAAATCAATCAAAAATTTATTAGAATTAGTTGATTTTCTACAAGTTGGTTCATTGGGTTTTTCATTTAGAATTTTGGGATTTTTTACCTGATTATGAGATGGTTTGTTCTCCATATTGTCATGCAAATGTGCTCTTTTTGAGGTTGTTCAATCAAGAGTGCTTGCATGTTAATGTCTTTAGCTCTGTTATTAAACAGAGCTCTCTCTCTCTCTCTCTCTTTCACACACACACACACAGAAGGCTTAGTTACATTCCTAGTTTAAGTTGCTTTCCCTTTTCAAAACTGGAAGTACATGATTTTGAGCTTGTATGCTTTACATCTACCTCTGTTGCATATATGTCTAGTTCCTTTCATCTCCAAGGTTCACCACTCTTTATCTTCTCTCGCCTAAAGTTTTTGCATTTATACCTCTTTCTCTTCCTCTAATAGATAACAGCACATAAACAAAATGTACTAAGCTCTACTAAATTTGTTGAATGGGTACTCAAACCATTTTACATTTCAATTTAATGTCTGTAAGTGTGCTCTAAGCCTCTAACATGGTGCTTTTATCTAAAATGGATTAGTCAGATATGTTTGAATCCCCAGCTCAGATACTTTCATTCCTCTTCCCAAAAGGTTGCTTATATGTATGGAGTCTGTGGACTCTGTGGCTGATCTGACTTTGCTCTATCGTAGGTCTCAAGGAACATTGATTTGGTCTATGGAGGGGGTAGCATAGGCCTAATGGGATTGGTTTCACAAGCTGTTCATAATGGTGGTCGGCATGTCATTGGGTGAGCTGCTTTCTCTCTCTTCTCTTCCAATACGTTAGTTTTTCCCTCAAAACTCTCAAACAAAGTTTAAAATAACAGAAGATTAGGAAACAGAATGAGTTGGATCTCTTGTTTTAATTGATTTTTCTCTCCATTAAAACTAACTTTTGTCATGTTATTGTCCCTCTGCAGAGTTATTCCCAAGACGCTCATGCCTCGAGAGGTATGTCTGCTATGGCTAAAAAAAGTCTTAGGCCTTTTGTTAAGCAATTCCTTTTCCCATTGTTCGGGTTTAGTTTGTTGTAATTTCTGTATCTTCTTTTCTTTTCTCTTCTTTTATTTAATTTTGGGTCTTTTCCCTTCTTTTTTCTCAAATGTCTCTTTTTAAATTTTATGCTCCATGTCAATCTAGGTTATAGTTTTATCTATGTTTTAAATGCTTATTTTCTGCTTTTTAACTGTTGATTTTTTGGGGTGCTCAAAATTTTGTTTGTTTTTGGTCCTTGATACTTTGGCCTTATCCATAGTTCCACTTGGGTGGCTGGCATCTCATCCCTTACTACATATGTTTTGTGTTTAAAATGGTTTCTCTGAGTTCTTCTTTTTCTGTTTCATCCTTTAATCTGTTCAGCTTGGAGTGTTTCCCTTTTGTGCTTTTCTTCCCTGGCTTTTTCTGTGATCCAAATTGTGTATGAAATACTGGCCTGAAGTTGCTGACTTTAAAGATTTTCAGATTAAGTCCACCACCCTGCAAGCCTCATCATTGCATCACTGCACAAGTGCACAACACTCCATACAAAATTTCAGTCTCTGTGTGTGTGGAGACATATTTCAGTTTTTAATTTTTTTTTTTCTTTCTGGGTCTTGGTACCCTTTTGCAGTTAACTGGTGAAACAGTAGGGGAAGTGAAGGCAGTTGCAGATATGCATCAAAGGAAAGCAGAGATGGCTAGACACTCGGATGCTTTTATTGCCTTACCTGGTTAGTATAAGCCCTGAAAAATCCTCGGTGTTGCACCAAAATTGCAAGGCAAATCAACAAAAGATAAAGTCCCTCAGCTGTTTTTATGTGTCTAATTCTAGAATGCAAGATTCACAGTATCTCTCTTGTTTTGATTCTTTCAAGAGTTCATTGAAAGCCACCTTCTCGGCCAATTATCCTTGGTCTCCTAGTGTCAACCAATAAACTAAACTAGAAAACGAAAATTTTGTCCTCTTGAGTGAAAACACAGAGAACCAAGGGTGTTGAATCTTGTAGGAGTTTTTTAGGATCTCGACTTTTCTTCCTTCAGAAACCACAGTCTACTTGACTAAGTTGTAAAAGAGTAAACAAATAGAGAAGGGAAAGGGGAAAAATATTGTTTTTATTTCTTTGTATGCCAATCTTCTTAATGGGTAATGCTAATAAGTGAATAATGGGTGCATTTCTTCATCAATTTAATCATTTGGGAAAGGGGAGGGACTCACAGGGAGGAGATTATCTTGACATTTTCCTTAGGAAATAGTTGGTTTTTATCAAAATGAATTATTGTCCAGTCGTACAAAAGAGGACCAAGAGGCTATGGTAAAGGGGACATAGAACTTCTCCTGAGAATATTAGTACAGTTTTCTTTCTTGGCTTTTGTATTATGATACCACATATGGTATTGTTAATTCTGTGAAAGCAACTGTTTGAGGCTTAAATGATCACAGCTCTCTCAAGTCTCACAAGCCCCAAGACCCATGATTAGAGAGCATCCCTTCAAACCCTAGTTGTTGACACATCAACATCTTGCACTGAAAATCAGAGTTTTTTTTGCTGTGAATAGCTCTACTTCTGTGATTTAAACTTTCCCCTTCATGTAGTCATAGCCTCTAATGCAACTGTGACTATTTTTCTTACCATAAAAGGAAAAGAATANTTCTGTGATTTAAACTTTCCCCTTCATGTAGTCATAGCCTCTAATGCAACTGTGACAATATTTTTCTTACCATAAAAGGAAAAGAACAAAGAGTCACACTTTCACCAAATTGTTTTTGCCAACTAGCATCTGCACTTGACAGGGAATCATGTTCACTCTTTTCGAGGACTTCTTGTCTTCCTCAATTTATTTCTCAACCCTTGCAGAAAACAAATGAAATATTTAATTATCATGAGACAAGTTAGCATGAGAGACATTACGACCTGAATGGGTTGCAGAAGATTATGTTTCTGATTTAGCAGGTGATGGGAGCAACAAATACCATGTTTTGGACATAAAAAAGAGGTCTGGGGCCAACTTGTCATGTAATTTTCAAGGAAACATGATCATCTTAACATATGTAATGGGATATAATTGCTCTTTAAGTACATTTGCGACAATGGCGAAATGAAAGACTGTAAACAGAGTTGAATAATCCGTTTTATCATCAATTGGTAAAAATGATTAACCAATCCTGTAAGCCATTGCACTAGGAGGTATTCTTCTTTCAACCTTCCTCCTAATAGCAGTATTAGTTATTATTGTCTTGTTCGCATATGCTGTTGCCTCTTCCTCGTATCCTTGGGTTGTTACTCTTTTTCCAATTGATTGATCCTTAAAAGTCATTCTTATCTGGCGGTGTAGATAAAGCAACTGCAAGGTTCTCCCAGATGAACTCAAATTAATCTGATGACAAAGTGTAGTGATCAACTAATGTATTGTATGCACAGGTGGTTATGGCACTCTGGAGGAGCTACTTGAGGTGATAACCTGGGCTCAACTTGGCATTCATGATAAACCGGTAATTCTTGTTTCTTCAGTTTTCTGTGGGAGTGCTAACCTGCTTAACCCATTTGAGATTTAAGAGGCTATGATTTACATTTTACAGGTAGGGTTGCTGAATGTGGATGGATATTACAATTCATTGCTGTCATTTATTGACAAAGCTGTGGAAGAAGGCTTCATTAGTCCAAGCGCACGCCACATCATTGTATCTGCACCAACCGCGAAGGAGTTGGTCAAGAAATTAGAGGTAATCTTTGAAGAAAAGAGAACAGAAAGTACTAAATACATTCTTACCTGCACAAATTTGCTGTTAAATTGTTAGATCTGAAGTGAATGGCTTTCCTCAGTTTGGGATAATAGTGCATTTAGCTAAATGACAAGGGCACTGCATAAAGATCACATAGATTCCTCTGTTTGTTAAGATGTCTCGGACCTCAATAAAAATTTGAATTGAGGACTAGTTTGCTTCTACTAGAGATCCCATTCTGCTTAAGAAATTCTCCAAATCTTAGTAGACATTTGTAAAACAACGCGGAAATGGTTTTCCTTCAATTCCAAATGCACACATTCATATGTTAATGAGATTCATCAAGGTGGCCCCAAAAAACAAATCCATTGATCTCATCTTCACACTATGAATGATGCACGACTTCGAAGCATTTAATTATTCTTTGCAAAAATCCTCTCTCTCTCTCTCTCTCTCTCTCTCTCTCTATCTATCTATCTATCTATCTATCTAGCTATCTATTTTCAAAATAGTTATATTTGTGGCTAAATCTTTTCTATCTATCTGATGGCAACTTCTGCCAAAAAAAAAGAGTTCTCATGTATTTTACTTTCTTATTATTAGGAGTACGTTCCTCGTCATGAAGGAGTTGCTCCAAAGTTGAGCTGGGATATAGAGCAGCTTGGCTATCCTCAACAGTATGACATTTCCAGGTGAAAACTGGAGCTGCTGCACAGAAGATCTTATTAGATAGAAATTTGGCAGTTGAAAGAGCTAACTTGAAAATTTTAGATTTTTGATGCGGGGAATTCTATTTTTGTAAATTACTGCGGCAAATGACCTAAATTATCTGAAACTTCACTATTCCCCTCACTTGAAAGTTTGGTTTCCTTTATAAGCTGTAAGTACTAGATGCATATGAAATTCTCCATTTATGGTGACTTCACTGTTTTGTTCTGTTTCCTATTGCTTTTCCTGTTGAAGTGTGACTATGTTTACTGGGTTGGACATTGATGTGCTTGTCACTCTTCTTTCCTTGTAATTGTATCAAACCTTTCCTCATCATGATCGATAGTAGAAACATGAAAAAATTTAACACGCCCCAAATTAAAGAGCTCGAAATGGAGGCACAAGCGGCCGAATGGTTTTCGTTTCTGGGAACAAAATTTCCATTGTTCTCATTACCCTCACTAAAGCTCCAGAAGTTATGCCACCAACCCCGGCCATTTTAGTGAGGACACTAGTAACTGATACTCTATCCTTACATTTGGAATAAAGTAGTGAAGATGCACAAAATAGATTTATACAAAATCAACAGTTGAGTGTGTGATAAAGTGTAAATAATAGAGCAATTGAAGGGGCATAAAAGTTATGTCACGTGTAAATGGTCATGCGAGGGTCACATGAGGGGTTACACCCTATGGAGCCCGAGGTGAATTGACCAGGTCGACAGAAGGGCCGAGCAGAAGTCCCTCGGTTAGGAAGATAAGAATTGAATGGCAATATCGAAGCCTATGTTCAAAGAATCTGATTGTATCAATCTAAGCTACAATCAAGGGAGCGTTCGGGAAATCAGGAAGAGACATAATAGAAAATGCCAAATCTTATGGGATAGGTGGTTATTTCTAGAACGATAAGTCAGTTGGAGACTATATAAGCCAACAGAGGATAGTACAAGTATGCAATTTCCTTCCAACAAAAGTTAAATTCTTTCTTTTCGTTTACTAACTTAAGTATCATAGTGTCTTCGATCTTAGGCAGTTTGTCCGTTTTGTAGGAATTTGAATCCAATGTGGGAGTTGCATAGCTTTCTAAGAGGTCTGGGAGATTTTTGATCTCTTACATTTGGTGTCNATTTGAATCCAATGTGGGAGTTGCATAGCTTTCTAAGAGGTCTGGGAGATTTTTGACCTCTTACATTTGGTGTCGTCTGTGGGAATTCGTAACAAGAAGTCATGTTGAGACTAAAGAGCACGCTAGGATCGCCGTTGGAGCCCGATCTGCAGCGTGAAGACTCAGATCCAAACTACCGTGTTTCATTTCCTTCTGGACGCAACATCTGGGTGGATATTTACGACAGTTAAGATGAACAGGAGGAGGACAGAATTTCTTCCGCTAGTTTCAACCCTAAAGACGACAAAAGCCGACGTAATGAACCACAAGAAGGATCCCTCCGTGCCGAGGGGGATACTCCTGCCATCATGAAGCTAGTCCAGTCATTGCAAGACCGCCTTGACGCGCACGACGAGATGTTCAGAAAATCATATGCAAGGGAGAAGGCCTTGAAACAAGAAAACGAAGAATTGAAACAGAAACTGAGAAAAGTAAGTGAGAGAGGATTCAGATCACAAGAATCACCAAACCCGTAGGAGGCACATCCGAACACCTGACAGATGGGGACAAAGAACAGATCCCCAGAGGGCTCGGTACCATAAGAAAACTGAACAGCTAGACGGTTAGGAGGATTGGAGGCAATTCATCACAGGTGAACTTGATAGCGGTTGAAACAACCTGAGCAAAGGTCCGTGCGTGATCTCGCACACAGAGCAACCGAAGGATACACGAGAGGATTAGAAATTTTACCATTCACCAAATGGATAGACCAAGCTCAGATATCGAGCAAATTTGTTGTCCTAAGCTTTAAACTATATGATGGCAAAACGGATCCCATTGCTCACATTCGCCATTATAGGCAATTGATGACAGTGCACAGAAAAAAATGAACCACTGCTCTGTACCATATTTCCCAACAGCCTTGGCAAATCGGCGATGAAGTAGTTTGATGGGCTCCCTAAGAATTCGGTAAATAGGTAGTGTCATCTGGCCAAACAGTTTACGACTTGGTTCATAACCAGTAGTCGACAGTCGAAAGATGTTGGGGGCGCTGTTGACTCTAAAGAAGGGAGCTGGGAANGGTAGTGTCATCTGGCCAAACAGTTTACGACTTGGTTCATAACCAGTAGTCGACAGCCGAAAGATGTTGGGGGCGCTGTTGACTCTAAAGAAGGGAGCTGGGAAGATGTTGCGAGAATACGCGCACAAGTACTTGGGGACAATGAATTAGATAGAAGCGTGCAATCCAGAAAATAGTGGTCACGTCATTTAAAATCGAGTTGCCCAAGGAGAATCCGTTGTACCAATCGTTGACAAGACGACCAACTACAAGTATGGAAGAACTAATGGCAAGAGTCGAAAAGTATGCCAAGGTTGATGACGACCTCGGTAAGGACACGGGAAGAGAACAAACAGGCAAGAGGTAGTTTGGCAAAGATAAACTGGGAAACTCAGCCTGAGAGAAGGGTAAGAACAAGGACAAAGAAGCCTTCCCCTCAAAATCTCCATACATGGGCGTGAGCACGGTGTTTAAAGAACCAATTTATAAAACATTTTCCCAAATCAGGGGAAAATCTTACTTCAAATGGTCGAGCAAGTTAGGAGGAGATCCAGCCAGGAGGAATCCAAATTTCAAGTGCTCTTACCATCGGGATATCAGTCACATGAAGGAGAACTGTCATTCATTAAAGCAGCATCTGGAGGGATTCGCTCTGGTAGGACACTTATCGCAGTTTATCGACGATGGGGGAAAGGATAACACCAACCTCGGTAGTCTCCAACACGACCGACCTACCCTAGCAGGGGTCATAACATACAACAACGCTACATATGTTAACAAGCAATTCGGCTTAGGCTTACATCAAGATGGCTGCTCAGGCTGGGGAAGTTTATCAACTGAAGGAGGGGCGTGAACCACCGAGCAAAAGGTCGAGGGTAGACGAATAGCTCGAACAAATAAGCTTCTCGAAGTAGGACTTGATTGGTATACATCAGCCACACAATGATGCCCTTGTGTTGACTATCAGAATTGCCAATTTTGATGTCAAAAGGGTACTAATTGACCAAGGCAGCTCTTCGAAAATCATGTATTTCAGCCTGTTCAAAAAGCTAGACTTGAAAGAAAAAGACCTAGTGGCGTCCAATACCCCCTGGTAGGCTTTAATGGCAGGATGGTAATGCCCAAAGGAAAAGTCGTACTTCTAGTCTAGTTGGGGCAGGTAGGGACCATGGTTGAATTTCTGATCGTTGATGCATAATTAGGCTATAATACCATCATGGGACGTACCTGGCTACACGAGATAAAGGCGGTTCCCTCAACCTATCACCAGATGCTCAAGTTCCCAACAGCCGATGGAGTGGTCAATATACGAGGAGATCAGGTCAACTTGCGTACCTGCCTCCTTGCCTAGGTCAAGGAGAAAGCATAAACCAGCATCGCTGAGGAAGATCCACAAAAATAACAGTCACAGAGTCATTCCACCAGGGAGGTCACTGACTCCAAGCCGACTTCTTGCGCAGTGGAAGACTTGATAAAGGAATTCGTGGATGACAGTACTAACAAGTATTTTTTGTTTGGAGCCTCATTAACAAATGAAGAACGTGTGAGTATCATTTCACTATTACATACGTATATTGACATATTTGCTTGGGAAGCAAATGAGATGTCGGGAGTGCCTCCCAAAATTTCTTGTCACTATCTTAATGTTGACCCGACATTCAAGCCTGTGCAGCAAAAGTAGAGGAGGTCGGCACCACATCATAGAGATACGGTAAGGGAAGAAGTAAAGAGGTTGCTAGAGGCACAGATCATAAAAGAAGTACAATACCCAACCTGGTTATCAAATACAGTCGTGGTAAAAAAGAAGACTAAAAAATGGAGAGGTTGTGTAGACTTCACCAACTTAAATAAAGTATATCCCAAAGATTGCTTTCCGCTGCCCAAGATTGATCAACTGGTCGACGCAACCGCAGGACATGAAAGAATGAGTTTCCTCGATGCATACTGGGGTTATCACCAAATCTCCCTCGCCGAGCAGGATCAGGAGAAAACGACATTCATAACCCTGAAAGGCATATACTGCTATAGGGTAATGCCCTTCAGATTNCCGCAGGACATGAAAGAATGAGTTTCCTCGATGCATACTGGGGTTATCACCAAATCACCCTCGCCTAGCAGGATCAGGAGAAAACGACATTCATAACCCTGAAAGGCATATACTGCTATAGGGTAATGCCCTTCAGATTGAAAAATGCAAGGGCAACATATTAGAGATTGGTTACAAAGATGTTCTTTGAATTGATTGGCAAGTCAATGAAGGTCTACATTGATGATATGGTAGTGAATAGCCGAGCCAAAAATAATCATATTGCCGACCTAAAGATAACCTTTGAGGTCTTACGAAGGTTCGAAATGAAGTTGAACGCTGCAAAATGTGCATTTGGAGTTGGGTCGGGTAAATTCCTTGGGTTCATGGTGACTTATTGTGGAATAGAAGCAAACCTAGATCAGGTGTCAGCACTAACTCAGTTGGAATAGCCAAAAACCATGAAGGAAGTACAAAAGTTAGCTTGAATGGCTGCGGCGCTTGGGAGGTTCATTTCCTTTGCCTCCAATAGGTGTCAGTCTTTCTTCCAAGTGATTAAAAAAAGAACCGGCCCACTCTGGGATCAACGGTGCGTGGAAACTTTTACTAAGCTAAAGACCTATTTGGCATTATCACCACTCTTAGCAACCCCGTCACCAGGGGAGCAGTTGTTACTATATTTAGCAGTCTTTGAGCATGTTGTCAGTGCGACACTGATGAAGAATTCAGAGAAGGGGTTGAGCCCCATCTATTATGTTAGTAAGATGCTTTTTGAGGCAGAAACAAGGTACCTACCAT